ACAATTACATACCACCTCACAGCATTAGGGTGGCTACTATAAAATAAAAAAGAATATGACAGGTATTGATGAGGATGTTGAGACGTTGGAATCCTTGTGTATGTACTGTTGGTGAAAATGTAAAATGGTACAGCTACTATGGAAAACAGCATGGCAGTTCCTCAAAAAATTATATGATCCAGCAATTCCACATCTGGGTATATATCCAAAAGAATTCAAGGCAGGGACTTGAAAAAATGTTTGTAAACCCATTTTCATAGCAGCAGTATTCACACTAGCTAAAACATGGAAGTAACCATGGGTCAGTCAATGGATGAATGGATAAGCAAAATGTGATAAATACATGCAATGGAATATTCACCCTTAAAAAGGGAGCAAATTCTGTGATATGCTACAACATGGATGAACTTTGAAGATATTATGCTAAGTGAAATACAGCAGCCTATAGACAAGTACTGTATATTTCATTTGTTTAGTTTTATGTGTGCCTAATGCTGTTTTTTAAAATGTTGGTATGTATTTGGTAATGTTTTGGAAGTGTTCTTTCCAAATGTTCACATACTCAAACAAACAAAAAAAAGTTGGAGTGACTGTAGATCTCCTCTCAGACCTGCTTCATGTTAAACTAGTTGCTTTCTAAACCTGATGCAGTTTGTTGTGTTAGGATTTTCCTTCCTTGTGTTGGATGTTCTGTTTTCTGAACCATGAGTTCTTTTCTTGGCTTACTTTTTATTTTGATGAAATGTGTACCTCTAAAGGGGTATATCTTTTTTCACTCCTTGCATATCTAAAACTGTTTACTTGAATGGTAATTTGGCTGAAGTATACAGAAAACAGTTTTACAGTGCAGCTTTGAAAGTATTGTTTTTGGCAAGCCTCATGCCATTCTTGCTCCAGTTTCTTTGTGTGTAGGTTCTTTTGTTTTTTCTGACAACTTTAATAATTATCTGTATCTCTGGTGTTTTGAAATTTCTTAGTGATATGTTCACCCATCATCCTTTTTCATTCATTATGGCAAGCATTGTATAAGTCTTTGTAATTGGGATATTTCTGTTTGGGGGTTAAGTTTTTTGGTATTATTTCTTTGGTAAAATTTCACTGTCATTTTCTCTGTTCTCTCTTTTTTTTGAAACTCCTTTGATCTGATACTGTACTTCCTGCATCAGCTCCTCTAATTGTGTGATATTTTCTTTTTGCCTTCTATCTTTTGTCTTTTTAGTTCAGTCTTCTAAAAAATGTTTTCTAAAATATTTTAGTTGCCATATATTTAATTTTGAAACGCTCTGAGTTTTTTGTTTTTCAGTCTTTCTGTTTTCATAGTGTTTTTCTCCTTGTTTAATGGATGTAACAATACCTCATACCTCTCTGGGGATATTAAATGTGTATTAATAATTATATATATGTGTGTGTATATACATACACACACACATACACAAACACATATCATCTTCTGTTCTCAGCAATGTCTCTCCTGTCTCCAAGCCCCCTGCTTCATTCCTTTTTGTGGATTTTGATCTTTCTGATATTAAAGGATGTCTTCATTGTGTGGTGATCCTTAGCTGTTCATACATATTAAAGAATGAAACACTAAAAAGTTCATCGAAAACTCTATGGTTTTGGATGTACAGGGCTGTTTTGTATAGCCATACATGCTGTGCACTCCGAACTCCAAAGGGCACTATTTTAGTACTCTAAAATATTGATACTTATATTAGAAATTAAAATTGTGAAAATTTTAAAATATTGTTACTTAAGAAATAATAAACTTGCATAAGTTAACATAAATAACATACATTTTCTGAAAAATACTATTTCCTAAAACAAACTTAAAAGAATGACATTGTTTTCCACTTTTGCATATGTCTTTAATGTCTAGTTAAATAGAAGAAAACTGAATTCTCATTTTTCTGCAGTCTGTTGTGATATATTGTTTTGGTTGAAATAAATGAAGAATATCCAGCTTCATCCAGTACTTCAAAAATCTTTTCAGAGAATTTTGATTATTCTCCTTTGATATTACATCAAAAGTAGACAAGTGGGCCCGGCCGGCATGGCTCAGAGGTTGAGCATCCACCTATGATCCAGGAGATCTCGATTCGATCCCCAGTAGGGGGCGTGCAAGAGACAGCCGATCAGTGACTCATCATTTATGATTCTCTCTCGCTCTTTCTCTCCCTTCCTCTCTCTGAAATCAATAAAGACATATTTTAAAAAAAAAAAACAAGTAGAAGTTTTCTTAAAGATTTGTTGTGTGGAATCTGACTCCATATAACTAAACTTTTTGTACTTTGTTACATTAAAGTACATTATTCTGTCTTACACTTTGAATCTTTTATCCATGGATGATTTTATGTCAGGCATTGCTCATTTGGAAAATCTTGGTTCACTCAGTTACTTAAATCTTTACAGTGTTGACATATTTCATTATATAATATCAATTATCACATTCATTAAGATTATCAATCTCATCAGTGGTAGATACAAGTTTTCCTAAAATTTAATTTTTGCTTGAATTTTATTATTGGCAACAAATACTATCAATTGTTTTCTTTGGTGTGACAGGTTCACTTTGTCAATTTTCAAGAAAATGTCTGCTAAACAGCAAAGTCTAAATGCCCATAGTTTGAGAGTCATTCTTTAAAGTAAAAATGATGTTAAATGGAAAAAATTTGGCTAGGTTTAGTTCACAGCTCAATCACAGACCCAAGTATTTTCAGTATGCTATAGCAGGTCTTTATACATACATCATATTTCATCACACAGAGTATTAAAAAGGACATAAACTAAAGGATTGCTATATAATAAAATTATATAATATATACTAAAATTTACTGCTGGTGTGTGCTAGTAAAGAATACAATATTACTGGTACAATTTTGATTTGGTGCCACTCCCTTGATTCGTGTTAACATGCCAGCATTTTTACCCACCACTGCTTTTGTTTTAACCTCATGTGCCTCCTGAAAGTGTTTTGGAGGCCCCAGGTGTCTGTGAACCACATTTGGAGAACTGCTGACATGGATTTATATATGTACAGATTGCCCCCTGGATTAGTGAGCTGTACAACCTTCACAGTCTGCATGGAAATTGTTCAGACTTGAACATAAGAAAATCAGGTGCTCAGCTGACTGATTCTTTGATGGGGCATATGCTGTTCAAAATCACTATGGGAAATCTTTTCTTTGGGGCTGGTAATTTTCTCCAAAGAGGAAATCTTTTAGATTCCAGTTGGAGGTGGTAGGATGAAGAGTGATTCCCCTGGCTGCTGGCTTTCTTGGATCCAGGCAGGAAGAGGGACTGTGGGTCCTTTTATTCAGTTTATAGATTTTTCTTAATTTTTTCTCTCTCAGTATCACATGCCTGCCCTTTGCTGTTCCTTGTCTGCACTTCAGAGTTAACCTTTAGCCACTGTAGTAGGGTAAGGATAGAGGTCTGTTGTGTAGAAAAAACACCGATTTCTCAGTAGTCTGTGTGCTTCATTTTTACCTTTTATGTTTGAATATTGTACTGAATTCCCCCAAATACCAGATATCTTAGGTTGCCTGGGCAAGTTGATTCCCTTCTTAACACTTCCCACTCAGATGTTTTGTTGTAACTTCCTCCACTGTGAAGTCAGTTTCCACTCCTCCAGCAACTTTCCATTTAAAAATTTGTTGAAATCTCTTTGACATTAAGTCTGCTTTGGTGGTTTCTTGGTTTTTATGAGTGAAAATGTTTTATTTCTTTGCCCTCATTTTAGCAGGGTTTTGGGAGAGTGAGGAAATAAATGTATGTGATTAATACACTATTATCACAGGCTTGAGTCGGTCACTATACTGGTTAAATTCTATATTTGAATTTGAATCTTTACCACTTATTGTGGCATTCCTTTAGGTTCTCTACTTAACCTATGCAGTCTTATTTTTCATTTGTAAAAATAAGAGTTTATGATATATCTAATGTGAGAATTAAATGAGATAGTGAATGTAAAGTTCTTAACATACTACATGCATCATATGTGCTCAGTAATTGGTAATTGTTATAAACTGTTATGCTGTCCTCTGGCAAACTGAGGTTTTATTGTATTCCTTCCTCCCCATAAAAGATTTGAAATCAGCAAAATATTTTTCTATCATTTAATATTACTTAGTTTGACCGTGGGAGGGTTACCATGACTCCAAACATGAAACAATAATTTCTGAAATGTTTTTAAGTGTCTGTATTTAATATGTTTGTGTAAGAAAAAATACTGTGAATGCAACATGTTCAAATTTAAGTTGTGTTTAACTAGTTTTCTATTCAAGTAAAGTTGACCCTTGAACAACCTGGAAGTTAGGGGCACTGACCCCCACTCAGTTGAAAATTCATATATAACTTTAGACTTACCCAAAATTTAACTATAGTGCAGTTGTTCCTAGGTACGTGCAGGGGGTTGGTTCCAGGACATTACTCCCACACCAAAGTCCGTGGGTGTTCAAGTCCCTTATATAAAATGGTGTAAAACATTGCATACAGTTGGCCTTCCACATCCGTGGATTCCCAACCGCAGATTGAAAATACTGTTTTTAATCCGAGGTCGGTTGAATCCGCCGAAGCGAAACCCAGGGATACAGAGTGCCAACTGTATATTTATTGAAGAAAAATCTGCGTATAAGTGGACCCGCACAGTTCAAACCCGTGTTGTTCAAGGAACTGTTATTGTAATTATGACCCATATTTGAAACAGAATCTAAGGAAACCAGGTATTCTTATAACTGGATAACTGTTTCATGACCTTGATTCAGAAACTTGTGGTACAAAGAATTTCTTATAGGTTTCTTTAAAAAGAATTTTTAAAATTATACTTTTGTTAATGAAAATTATTCTAGTACATACTTTTGATTAAGAAACTGTTTTTCTAGTTCCTTGGTATATAAGATTGCACACTTAAATTTCTTTTATCCAGAGAGTTTAGTATATTAAAAGTAGTTTATAGTCATTTATCCATGAATATAAAAGAAAATTATTATTCATCATTTCAGGAAATTGCAAGACCTAATATGGCTGAAGGAGAAACAGAAACATCAAATTCTGAAAGGTAAATATAAGGAAAAACTGAATCTCAAATCCAAGTATGTATATAAAATGACACTTGAGTTGTGTTATTTTAGTTAATAAAGGACTATTTAAATGTTTGTATATGGTATTGTTTTCAGTAATGGCTTTTAATTAAAATTAAATTTTGAAATTTTAATGCAGCAAGATTATACTACAGATCTTTAGTTTTGAAATACCTTTATACATGTAGAGTATAAAGTTGCTAAAGTTTTTTAAAGTACTTGGTAGTAATTAAAATGTTAACAGATTTTTATTGTCCCTGTTAAATGAAAACAATTACAATATGCTGCAATTACAACATGGGGACAGTTATTGCAAATAGGTAATTTTAAAGTCTTTTTTAAGTATTTTCAGAAAGCTCTAAAGCTACTTACTTATGTGGTGGCATCTCAACTTAAAAGTTTCAAAATTTAGGAATTGGTTTATAAAAATTTAATGCTCAGGTAGAATACACACTAAAGAACACAAGACATTTCACTATCTTTCAGTAAAAGAATTCCAGTGTTCTAATTAGAACTTTTTCCAGATATTTTGCCTTTTAAATTAAGTGATTTCTCCATTTCTGTCTTTATACTGTATATTTTACAGTAGGTTGTTTGTTAATCTTATGAGATTAATTAATCTTTTGCCCCTCAAAAGCTAATTATAGAATAAGGCCTTATGAAGGTGTTCCTTAGACTTGACTTAGCATTTTTCCTAAAATCCTGGAGGGAAGGGGAAAGAATTTACTAAAACTCACCTAAAGGGAAAAAGCGGACTAGTTCCTTCTGTATTATTTAACATTTTCTGCAAATTGTTGTTAGTCCAATAAGAGCTGAACAAAAGTAACAATTAACAAATTTAATGAGAAAAATATTTTTTTCAGATGATGTAATTGACCTACAAGATCCAAGAAAATGAGCCAAGAATCTTTTCTGTATACCAATAACATGTGATTACAAAATATAATGGACAAAAGAGTTAATTCACAATATTAGCAAAAATGAAAAATGTGCAAGATCTAAATGAAAAACAAAAATTTACTTAGATAGAAAATAATATATTAATAAGTTGCATGATAGGCTATTTTCCAAATTAATTTATGGGTTTAATAAACATTGAGTTGAAAATTCCAATGGCATTTGGTTTGGAAACTGACAAAGTTTGATTTCTATTTTTCTATTTATTAATACCATAATTTAATTATTACCCTATTAGATATTATGTTGTTTCTGTATTCGCTACTGAAACGTTATTTTAATGAACATCCTTATATAAGTATCCTTTACTTTTTTTTTTTAAATATATCTTTATTGATTTCAGAGAGAGGAAAGGAGAGAGGAAGAGAGAGAGAAACATCAATGATGAGAGAGTCATTGATTGGCTGCCTAGCCCGAAACCCGGGCATGTGCGCTGACCGGGAATCAAACCCTGATTACCTGGATCCTACGTCAACGCTCAATCGCTGAGCCACGCCCGGCCGGGCTACATTTTTAAATGATTAAATTTAGGGAGAAGAGTAGTATAACGTAGGCAGTTTGCTCCTTTAGATAATAAAATACATTGTTAATCTATAATTGTTAAGACTGTGTAGTATTGGCTCAAGAATAGTATAAAGACAGATGAGAACAAAATGCATAGCGGAGAAATCGCCGTATAAATATACTTTAGTAAATAATAAATATTTGGTACCATTGTTTTGATATTTGTTGTTTCATTAAGAAAAAGTCTAAATTCCAGGTAGATTAATGTAAGAGATGAGACATGTGTTATCATTAAATTAATTTTTGCTAAAACAAGCATTGTCACATCTAGATAAGGAGCTGGAGATCCTCTTAGAAATCTTCTGTTTCTAATGTTTTATTATTCACTAGCTAGTTTCTGTTAACACATCCGGGTAAGAGTAAACACAGACACACACTCAAACATATATGTATACAAACATACACACATTTATGTCTATATGCATGTATATTTACATATATAATTTTTAGACATGTTTTTGTGTTTTCTTAAATTAAGCTGTTAAAAATCAGGGAAATATTTGTGAATGCTTATCTGATTTTGCATAGGGAAAGACACTGTAATCATAAGAGTATATATAAATCATAAAAGAAAAAGGGTTTTTTTCCATATATATTTATTCCTTATTTAAAGTACTCCCAGAAATTAATAAGAAACCTTAAATTGTAACTAAAAACAGGTGTGGATGTTAACAGATGAAAGTGATAACCAGGACTAAAACCAGTTGATAGACTTCACAGGTCTACTTTTAATATGTGATTCTGGAGTTTTTTACTCTCTTGCCTAAGAGAATGGCCACCTCCTAAATTGTAACATCATGGCAAGGACCATGGACTTGTGTGGTTTTTTTCCCTTTTTGGTGGGCAAGTGAGCCTTGGCTTTAAAAAAAAGTTTTACAGCATGTCTTTATTTTGATAATGTTCAAAAACATTGTATTATGAAGCAGTAGATAATAAATGGCTCTATTTTTTCAGTAAATGTGATAAAGCTTCTTCAGAAGAAAAAAATGGATGTGATTTAAATTCATTTGAAGGCTCATCAGCAACAAAAAGTGAAGAAAAAATGATAGTTTCAGATAAAGAAAACGATGCCTGTCCTGAGGACAAGGAAACTGGCTCAAAGAATGTCTTCAGTTATGATTCAAATATTGGTAAAGAAAAAGTGGAAAAGGAAAAGCAAATAGAACACGTTGATCAGGAAACAGAGTTGAAGATGTGCCAAAGTTCAGAAAACATAATTTCATGTTGTCAGATTAAAGATCAAAACTCCAATGAAGCTAGGTTTTCTTCGAAGAATATTAAAGATTTGCGGTTAACATCTGGTGATGTTAGCATTGATAAGTTTTTGAGAAAAAGAGATGAACCTGAGTCTGTTAGTTCTGATGGTAGTGAGCAAGGCAGTAGTCATCTGGAACCTTTGACTCCATCAGAGGTACTTGAGTATGAAGCCACAGAGATTCTTCAGAAAGGTAGTGGTGATCCTTTAGCCACGTCTGATGAAGTAGTGTCTGATCTAACAGATGATGTTCCTGGAGGAAATAGCCCTAGCACAACAGAGACAACAGTCGACCTGGCAGATGAAAAAGAAAGGAGTTGAAACTAGTTAAATAATTCTTTTTAGTGTACCAGCGGTAAGAGCATTTAGAGCAGTGCTATCAGGTGAGCTCAGTGGTTCTGTTGTAGAGTTCAGAAATAGTACAATGTGAGGGAGGTCATTCATACCCTTTTATCTGTATGTGCAACCTAGGTTATTACAGAAATCAATTCAATAATAGCACTATTAGTATGGATTTCCAGGAGGCTTTAAAACATGAATTAGGATTTTAATGAAAGTTAAACTTACAAAAGAAAAGCTTCATTTAACAGTTCTCAAGGAAATGGAACTTGGTTGCCAATATGAATTGATTATTAGAATATTAGTTATAAAGCAGTGAAAGTTCCACTAGTCCTAAGCTAAAAATCCTTATTCCCTATATATTTCTTAATTAAAGGAAGAAATTTGGAAACTACATACCTTTTGGGAATTTTAATTGGCATTGTTAATGAAAGCTTTATTTGGGGTATGATGCTGGTAAACGTTTAGAGTGTGAAATTAATGAATCTATTAAGAATTTGGATGAACATAAACTTAATTTTGGATTTAATATAACATTCCAGACTGTCAGAAGCATGTAAACAGAATATTTGAATTCATGTACCTCCATACAAGTGTTAGCCTGCCAGGCTGTAAGCTTACCTTAATTAAACTTTCAGTGAAAGTGAAATTATTAAAACATAAATTTATATTTGTGTTTTTGTCAGTGTGAGCTGTGCAGAAATCCCTTGATGTACTAGTTGTATAAAGTAGAAACCCATTGTTAAAACTCCTATAGCCATTATGCTTTTAATATTGTTTTAATGATCTTTAGAAATAGACCCATAAAAATGGTCTGGAAACCAAACCAAAGTATGGTATAATGTAGATATTGTAAAGCAGTAAACTGAAAACATGTCCTGACATGAATTCAGCCATGTTTAAGTGACTTTTTCTTTAACTGTAAAATAGAAACTTCAAATGGGACCTAAAGCAGTGATGTAAAAATTGGTTTGGGATATTTAGTCTAATTTATCCATAAGATGGCTGCTAAATTGATTTTTCAGTTTTTTATCATCTAGAAAATAATTGATCTAGAAATGAGTAAATGAATAACGGTAGTTTGCTTTGAAGTACTAATAAACTTTTATTTAAAACGCTACATTTTTACTTCTTAAAATGTGCTTTGAATTCTTAAATTTTGTTTTACTGAATATTAAATGTTCTAAATGTCTATTAAAATTCTGCTGTATATAATAGTTTTTGAGTAACTATTTGCAATAAAAATCTGTCCCTGAATAATTTTATTTTTCAGAAAACTGCTTGAGTCAGATTACCTTTGGCGCCTTTAGAAACTATATTCGTTCAAGGAAATTTCATGTTAAAGTTAGTGGTAGGATTTCTTTCTGTATTCTTTAATTGATGTGTATGATATATTTTAAATTAGTTCTTAAAGTATAGGGGGAAATACTGCTAATATTTACAGAGTGTGGATTTGTTTTCTAAATCCTTTCACTTCAAGAGAAACATAATTTAATATTATAGTTTTCTGTCTGCTCAGTACATTAAAGAGACTAAATAGGCAAAATATATTATCTACTTATTTTCTTGAAAATTTGGGGGTTAGGGGTGCAAATATTTTCATCTTTCCTTCTCCCAAGAAAAGATAGGGAGAAAAAGACCCTTAAGCTGTCACCCTTCACCTTCTTGAAACGTAAATATATATAGCAGGAAAGATTTTGGAAGTAATTTAAATCTTAGAAGAGCAGGGAGTAGAAAAAAGTCTACATAAGGATCACTTTCTGAATTTCATTCAGTTAGTTGCCAAGCCTTTGCTACAAAATCCGAGAGCACTGTGCCAAAGTAAGTTCCACCTGACACCATAATTCCTTTTGAGCTTTGGAGTTGTTCCTTCTCCCTCCACTGTTCCTTTAGTGGGATTCAAAGTAGCTTATCAGTGAACTGTTTATACCTGTCCACTGAGAGAGTGTGGCAATGAAAACAAAAAAGTAGTTGAAATACAGACATTGTACTTAGTAACATAATTGGTTTCTGTTCTCAAACAGCATCCTTATCTCATTTCTGATCAGGAACAAATAGGGTGTGCAAACCCAACCTTTAAGGCGCAGTGCTTTAGGACAGTGGTCAGCAAACTTTTTTCTGTTGTGGGACGAGATGCTAAATAATTGTGGGCTATGTGGTCACAGTTATTCAAGTCCTTCCTTGTAGCATGAAAGCAACTATAGGTAAATGTAAAAACAAAAAACAGAATGTTAGCTAAATTAGGCCCATATACCGTAGTTTGCCTGCTTTAGAGTGTTTAGACTCCCTTGATAGGATTATGAAAGCCTGCAATGCACTTTACTGACAACGTGCCTAGAACTACTGACTAGTGTCTTCATATATTATGGTTCCCTGTTACCTAGCAATAGAATTATGATAGGTTAAAAGTACAGTTCAGGTACATTAATTTGATTATATTGATTTTGTGGGGTGTACTTTTAATTTACATTGAAAATCTAAATGCCATATTTATTTGTATTATTTCTTCCTCTTTCATCTCTTCATTGTTTTAGGAATGAAATTAGAATTGTTTCACCCTATAAAAAATTTTAAGAACTATTCTAAACATCTTTTAAAAATACTTTTATTGATTTTTAGAGAGAGAGGGAGAGAAAGAGAAACATTGATGTGAGAGCAAAACATTGATCAGCTCCACAGCCCCTACTGGGGATCGAGCCCACAACCCTGGCAGTGTGCTCTGACCAGGAATCTGCCATCCTTTCAGTGCATGGGTCGACGCCCGACCAACTGAGCCACACCGGCTAGGGCCTAAACATATTTTTAAAGGAACTGGTGAGATATATTAGGTTCTAAACACTTTTTTAAAGAAATTGGTAAGATATATTAATTACCTTGTTTTTGCTATAAGTAAAAAGATGAAGAAATCAAATACATGGGCAATTATTTGCCTAAGGTTATAAAGCCAAGATTTGAACTCAATTTGATCTGATTCTAAAGTTACTGTTTTCTGTCATACTTATAGTTCTCAGCATTTATATTGAATGTTGCCTATTAAAATAAATTTTTTTTTTTTTAAATAACCCTCCCATTAATGGTATAATTATAGTTTGTTTTATATTATTTATACAGTGATTATATACATATGGCATGGAGGACTTCTTGACCTGAAGAAAAGGACTTAGTGATCTTTTTTAGCAGGAATTGGAGAATTTTACCCCCAGAGGAGCGGTTAGATAATCATTTTAATAATAGGAAAGACAGCATGTAATTTAAAGAAATACTTTACAGCCCTGGCCAGTGTGCACCAACAGGTCACCAGTTCGATTCCTAGCCATGGCACATGCCCAGGTTGTGGGTACCAATTGATATTTCTCTCTCACAGATTGGCATTTCTCTCTCATGTTAATATTTCTCTTTCTGTCTCTTCCTCTCCCTTCTTCTTTCTCTAAAATCAATAAAGACATTTTTGAAAAAAAGATACTTTATATAATAATTATAGAAGTTTTAACATCATTACATTTTTTGACTCCATGGTTAACACAAACATTTTTGTTCTTCAAACTTGTTACTCCAGTGCCAATCACTCCTACTGACTTCAATGAAATAGGACTTTTGTATTATGTATATAGGCACTAGAAAAGGATTGCAAGTATTTCGTTTCATTTTTACTAGATTACTAACAGTAAGACTTTTTTTTCAGCAAAGAAATGAAACACTTATTTTTTAAATTTTTTCTTTTAAATGAAGCACATATGCAGATCCATGTAGACAATATTAATAGTCATCTTTTTAAAAGTCATGGCAATGTTTAATTTTCAACTTAAAAGCTATAAATTGAAAGATACTTCACTCATATTATCTTGTAAGAAATTAAACACATCTGCAGCAAAAATGGTGACAACATCAAGGGCTGAGTTATCCTAGATGAAATTACTTCTACAGTTAGCTAAAGATAACTTTTAATTGATTGTTAAATGTATTATAAAATATCCTTCATTGTTTAAAAGAATATACTAAGCATAATTTAGTCATCTTTGATTACATAGGGTGTCATCATTATGAAGATTATTGGATCAAAGTATAAATGAAGCTGTAGCTGCAGCTATTAATAGCCTAAATAACTGCTGATCACAGAAGTTACCATGGATTTTGGTTTCCAGAAAATGCCCCAGGTATATCTGGGATCAAAACAACAGAAAAATTCATTGCACTACTTACCCAATCTAATCTTTTTTAAAAATTGAGGTATAATTAACATAACATTTCATTAGTTTCAGGTGTACAGTGTAATGTCTTGATATCATTACACTGGTTGGAAATGACCACCACAGTAAGCCTACTTAGCATCCAACATCATACATAGTTATAAAAATTTTTTTCTTATGAGAATTTTCAAGATCCACTCTCCTCACTACTTTCAGATATGCCATATACTAGTACCATGCATTATATTACATCCCCATGACTAACTCATTTTATAAATGGAAATATGTACCTTCTGCCTCCATTACCAATTTCACCCACCCCCCAGTCCTTACATCAGGCAACCACCAATCTGTTCTCTATATCCATGAGCCCAGGAATTTTGTTTGTTTTTTCTTTTATTTATTTTTAAAATATGTCTTTGTTGACTTCAGAGAGCGAGGAAGAGAGAGATAGAAACATCAATGATAAGAGAGTCACTGATGGGCTGCCTCCTGCACTCTTCGAACTGGGGATGGACCTCCAACCCAGGCATGTGCCCTGACTAGGAATCGAACTGCAATCTCCTGGATCCTAGGTCGATGCTCAACAGCTGAGCCACGCCTGGCTGGGCTATTTTTTCTTTTAGATTCCACATATAAGTGAGACCATATGGTATTTATCTTTGTCTGCATTATTTCACTTAGCATATTGCCCTCAAGGTCTATTCATGTTGTTGCAAATGACAAGATTTTACTCTTTTTAATGGGGGATTAATATTCCAGTGTGTGTGTATGTATCACATTTTCTTCAGCTGTTCATCCATCAGTGGGCACTAAGGTTTTGACATACCTTGGTTATTGTAAATATGCTGCAATGAACTTGGGGGTGTTTTTTTCAAGTTTTAGTGTTTTCTTTTTTTTTCAGATAAATACCCGGAATTGGAATTGTTGGATCATATGATAGTTCTATTTTTTTTTAATCCTCACTGAGTATACTTTTTTATTAATTTTAAAGAGACAGGAAGGGAAAGAGAAACAATGATGTGAGAAAGCAACATCAATTGGTTCCCCCCCCCCATATTTGCCCCAACGGGGGATCAAACCCGCAACTTAGATATGTGCCCTGACTGGGTTGGAACCCACAACCTTTTTTGGTGTATGGGACTACAACCAACTGAGCCACCTGGCCAGGGCTGGTAGTTTTATTTTTAATTTTTTAAAAAATTTGTCTTTATTGTTGAAAGTGTTACAACTGTCCTTTTTATCCCCTATTAATCCCCATCCCCCTCTACCCCACTATTGTCTGTGTCCATGGGTTATGCATATATGCATGTAAATTCTTATGTTAATCTCTACCAACCCACCCCCACCTTCCCTCTGAGATTCATCACTGTTCCACTCTTCTATGTGCCTGGATCTGTTTTGTTCATCAGTTTATTTTGTTCATTAGATTCCATATATGAGTAAGATCATGTGACACTCGACTTTCTCTGACTGGCTTATTTCGCTTAGTAGTATACTCTCCAGATCCCACCATGCTGTCTCAAAGGATAAGGGATCCTTCATTTTTACAGCAGCATAGTATTCCATTGTGTAAATGTCTGAGAAGATGCTTGATATGATTTCAGTCTTCTTGAACTTGTAGAGACTTGTTTTGTATCCTAACATGTGGTCTGTCTTTGAGAATGTCCCATGTGCACTTGAGGAGAATGCATATTCTGCAGCTTTGGGGTGAAATGTATAAACGTCAATTGAATCCATCTGATTTAGTGTGTCATTTAGAGTCACTGTTTCCTTGTTGATTTTTTTGTCTGGAAGATCTATTCAGTAAAGTCAGTGGGGTGTTAAAGTCCTCTACTATGACTGTATCGCTCTTGATCTCTCCTTTAAAGTCCTCCAGAAGTTGTTTTTGGTGTTTTTTCCCCCCCAGCCTGTGTAAGTCTTTTGTTCTAGGGTGGGTCTCTTGTAGACAGCATATATTTGGGTCTTGTTTTCTTATCCATTCAGCTACCCTATGTCTTTTGATTGGGACATTTAATCCATTTACATTTAAGGTTATTATTGATAGGTACTTACTGCCATTTTATTTCTTTATGCTTATGTTTC